CATCTCCCATTCCCAGGAGTCAACAAAACAAACCCAGCTCTGCTTCTCTCCAGCTGTGTCCTATGATTTTCCTTACACCTGTCGTACAGAAGCAAAACTAACTCCTTGTCCTTCTGCTACTGTAATTGAGTACATCTGATCTCAAAAAAAATTAAAACTTTGCATCCTGAGATAAACCAAAAACAAAAGATCACCAGTAAGGCATACATACACACATCAAGGCTGTTGTGTCTAGTTCTAGTTCCCCAAATAAATAAAACTGAGCCTAAGGCTCCCCTGTAAAATTAAATTCCCTAAAAGCAAACAACATTTTATCTTTTGCAGCGCTGGTGTCTAGAAAGATGTGATAATAGCATGAGAATTGTTTTGCCCACCACGAACAAACTAATTATGGGCTCTTTACTGGAAATTGTGTAATTTTTTCCTTGAAATACGTATTATTACTATTTGGTTAGTCCATCCTTCTAAAGCCTGAACATCTTGTACATTTTTCTTGCAAGTAAACTTTTAAAAGATTTTGCTCTGAGTCTCCATTGGACAGTAGCTGACCCTTGAACAACAAGAGGGTTGGGGGCACCAATCCCCCGTACAGTTGAAAATCCACATATAACTTTTGACTCCCCCAAAACTTAACTGCCAATAGCCTACTGCTGACTGGAACGCTTACCATCAATTGACACGTATTTTGTATGTTACATGTATTATATACTGATTCTTACAATAAGCTAGAGAAAATGCTTTTTCAAATTATTGCAAATCTCAAAATTTGCAATATATTTATTGAAAAAAATATGCATGCAAGTGGACCCTCATAGTTCAAACCCAACTGTAGTAAGTCTCGTTAAAGTATAACTTCAGAAATGTGAAATCAAGACTTAGGAAAATATAAAATGAACATATGGCAAATATTCTATTCAGTTCATTAGTTAATGAGGGAACCAACAAGATGTCAAAACTGTATCAAAGTGCTGCATAGCTGGGTACTTATGGGTAGTTTCACAATGGAATGTTAGTGTAAGGTTGCAAAGTTAGATACAAACTGGTTGTCATACTACAAAGCAATAAACTATATAACCTTTGGAATTACATTTCTGAAAAGTAGGGATTTACATCCTTACCAGACAAAAATCTACAACATGTCATTTCACTAAATGTAGAACCTCTAATCAACAGTGAACAGTGAGTTCCACCTACAATTCACATCAAGACCACTCATGACCTCTTAACTGACAAATTCAGTAGATATTTTCTGAATTATTTGTTTTACTTTTCATGTGAGATTTCTCAGTGTTTAAAATACCACATGCCAAACAAGATCTTTGTGGGCTGGATTTGAGACACAAACTGTAATTTTACCATCTCTGATTGTTTTTTAATACATGCTGAATTCCACGAGGAGCTGACTAGTCTCTTGGACTCCCAGAACAGAATGCAAATTAGAACAAAATTCAAATTGAGGTTCTCAGCCCCATCCCTCCACTTCCAGGGGCACCTCTAGGATTCTGTTGGCATTAGATGGCATCACCCACTGTGCTGTACCTTGGAAGACTAGCAACAGTCACCTAGCCCGGATTAGCTGATCAGATTTCTCCGAGATCTTGGAATTGGGACACTGAGGCACTAGTCCATCTCTGCTGCTCACTTGGAGAGAGGGCAGGGGAACTTGGCAGTTGTGCACTTAGAAGCAGGGAAAGCCTGTTTTCAGAAAAGCAACAGCAGATGAGCACCACCTGGGGCAAGACAAGCAGAAGAGCGATTAAGAGCACAGCTCCCTAAGTTCTGGACGGCTTCCAGTCCCAGTGCCTCTTCAGGCCTGCTTTGTCTTTGGTGCCTATGAGATAAATATTCCTATTTCCTTTTAATTAACTGACTCATTTTAATTAAGGTAGCTTGTGGGAGTTTGTGACTTGCAACCAAGGACTCTATAGAGAGGAATAGAGGGCACTTGGCAGTGCTGCTTTACAAGACCCCACTGTGTAGGGTGTGGCCTGCAGCAAACCTGGGCATATTTTTCTTTCTAAATGGCCTGGAGGCTAGTGTTAATAAGAAGTGTTACATGAACACTGGGTTCAGACAATTCAGAATAAAGTCGACTAGAAAACAATAAAGGTACATGTGGACTTCAGAACAAATGTTTATTACTGCTTAATGGGGCCAAAGGGGCAACACAAAGGACTGAAAATATCACTGACTTAAAAAAGCAGTCACCTTGTTACCTTCTTGGCTGAATTTGTTTATTTCACAAGGCTTCATTCACCATGAAAACAAGATATTAATCCAATTCAAGTTCATAACGATTATAAAAGTAAACATTTGTGGGGACAATGTACAATAAATTGCACTTTTCTTAACAAGCATTACATTTACATTTATAGTGTACTATACATAATACATGGGAGTATGGAAACACCTAATTGGTCAGTGTTTATGGAGGAGAGAGGCTGCTAGCTGATACTTCTTTTGTAGTCAGTGCTGCTTGGGCTAATCAATTCCTTTATTCTAGAACCTGTTTTCATTAGAGAAGCTGTGGGCAAAATCATGGAATTCATAAATATAGATGGTGCAAAATTTCTACCACCTCCTCAGCAAGGGAAAGGTAGGAGCTGAAAGAAAGCACATGGGGCTGACTGAGAAACTTTCCCTCATGTGAACTAAAGATCCATGTGTTACGCAAAACAGCAAAAATACAAAACTGATGCCAAAGGCTATTGGGGCATCTTAGATTCTGGGACCATCTCTAGCCTGTGCTTTCATGACACCAGAGTCTTGAAGCATTTATATACTTATAATTCAATTTCTTATATTTTATTCCATATATAATATATAGTTATTAAAAGTTACATTTTAATGGAAAAGGTTTTACATATTAACATATTGCCAATGAAAAAGAGAAGTAACTTAAAATTTTCTACTCAATGATTCTGTTTTCAGAATACCACTAATGATAAACCAGGGATGGTGGTGGAGAGAATGGAACAGGTTGAAGATGTTTTATAGCAGGTAGCAAATTCATTTGGAGATAAGCTTGACATGTAATCATTTAGATGAAAACTGAGAAGGGACCTGACTGCCGTCACTAAGGTCCTCCTGCTCATCCTCCTTTCTCGTTACAGCTCAACGTTGCCACCAACCTATTGAGGTGCAGCACACACCAAAGTTTTCATTTTGACAGCTTCTGAAAAACAAGGGAATTCCTATGGTAAAGGGCATTGCCTGTATTATTTGGAAGCCCCTGTGAGAGAGGAAGGGTGTTTGTATCTGATTGTAGGAAACAGGCCACTGAGCTGTTGTCTGGCCTTCTGTATTTATCACCAGTGTGCGTTCAGTTACATGGTCCCTGGGTATTCACATACTCTATATAAAATTCCACCCATCACTCTCACACACATATTCCCTAACACACCTACACCCTAAACACACACACACACACACACACACACAATTTTTAAAACAACAGAGTCTGTCCATTCTCTCATTTACTTGTAATCCAAACAAGAAATTCAGAGCTATTTTGGAGTGTTTTTTTAAAAGAGTGATCATCTTGTTAAGTAATTAAAAGTGTTCTTTCCCAGAGAGACCAAACAAACAAGGTATTTGCTTTTTCCTTTAAAGGGGCCCTGAAATCAGACAGCCACCTTAGCAGAATAGTTACTAGACTGATTTCAGCTAAAGAAAAAAAACTCTTACATGAGCTGCACATGTTATTCTCATCTCAGTAACTTTTCACCTCCTTTAAGGAGCTCTCATCTCTTGTGCCCTAAACTGTGTTTTTTTCACTTTAAGGGCTTTGCAACAGGGGTTTGAGAAAAATAAGTATTAATACATAGTATAAAAGAATGAAAATTTTGAAAAAATTGAAACAAGATAAATACTATTAATATCCCAACATCAGTACAAAAACTGCTTTTCTACTTTATGGAAATTTAAGAACACCAATGAAAAAGAAACTGCTAACTTAATAGCTAGGAGAGGGGAAGAAAGATTTTCATTATATGTAAAGGTAGGTCATAGGCCTATATGACATTCCTATTAGTGTTTCTAATAGGCACTCCTATACAGAACATTAGATAACAGAGAATTTCTTTGCATTAAATTACATGTAACTAAATATAACTGAATTTGTGCCATGGCTCAGGATGTGGGAAGCTAGCAAACATATGCACTGCAAAATTCAGCTTGGTTTCTTTTAGCTTTAAAGAATGTGTTAAACAAGATTCTAAAGATACAAAAGCTAATGGACTAAATTACAAAGTTGAAATTCATTCCCTTAATTTATTCTGTAGGATTTAATGAATAGAGAAATCACCATTTTTCAGAATACTGCAAAAGTTGAATGTTTGGTGGAATGTTTTATACAGTGTATCCTAGGAAAATGTGAAAAACCCTCTAGAATATTGAAAATTTTCTGGATATTTGGGCTGGATAATCTAAAAGAAATTCTGGATAATCTAAAAGAAATTCAAGAGAAGAATAGCAACTCTCCAATGTACTTCAAAATAATATTTAAAAATCAGAACTAGCAGTTACTTAATGCTGAGATGCATGAGTTTTCAAATAATAAAGGATGAAAGACAGGTGGTTTGGATTTTGAAATTTGTTTTCCATCTTTTGCTATTGCTACTGACCTAAAGGCAATGCAGTGAGGAACAGTTGGAGGTATGGTACCAATACACATACCCCAAGTATGATATGGAACTGGAAAAGAAAAAAAAATCTATAGATTGCAATTATGATCTTTTGAAAGAGTTTAAAGAACATGCAAAGGACAGATTTATTAAATGTTTGGAATGTATGAGTTTTCAATACATCATACCTGATGATTTTGTTTAGAGGAAAAAGTATAAGGGGCTATGAAACTGAGTGAGTTAACAGGTAAGCACTGGACCCAAAGCCTTTCTACTTCTCCCTAAACTACCATTTAAGGAAAATTATGCAAGTTAGGCCTACTGTGGAATGTGCTGATTTTTGGAAGTTAAAAAGAGATCTGTACAATAGAACTGTGAGATGCACAAAACATAAAAGAACCTTTTTAATTTAGCTGGCCATTTGATAAGGCAACTTGTACAAGGCTTCTTGAAATCAAAGCATAAAGTACCAGTAAAGCCAACAAATTATACTAAATGATTTACAGAAATAAGTACCAATGCAATTTTCTAGCCATTATACTAATATATATGATATATATCATATATATATTAGCTTTACTAAACCACTATGTAGGGAATCTTTACATTAACAGAGACCCTTGGAATGATGGATTATTTTCCTTTTTTAGTAAAAGGAAATGAATATTATGATGAAAGGTATCAGAATAACAACAAAAAAGCGAATTCTGTAAGAAAGTATTATTTGATGAGTGTAACAAAGGATAAGAAAAAACCCCATCAGTTTTATGAGCTGTAATGATATGAACACTTACCAGTGCAGGGGGCTTCACTTTTTAGAGAGGGAAGGATCCACCATGAGCAACTTGTAGTGCAAGCTCCTGGATTTGAGGCAGCTCTTATTTACTTGCAAGAGTGTGTTACTTTTAATTGCAACATATGGCACAGATGAGAATCACAATGGTACTACAGAGTTTAAGATCCTTTGCAAATAATATGTTCAACAATGAAGCCAAGGATGAGATTCACAATAAATGTTACTGTACATAGCAGACAGTAGTTTGGTAGGCATCAAAGGACCAAAGGCCTCCAAAAGAGCTTAGAAAATGGAAAAATTAGATTTGCCCTTACCAGAGGATTCCCTGCAAGGACTATTTATATAGACATGTTAACTATAATTGAAAAAAATATTTCCATCAACTTTTAAACAACAGCTTTACCTTTCCATGAGATAGGTATTTCTATAAAGATTTCATAGTCAATCAAAAATGTTACAAATGCATTTGCCTCTTTTCACCTAGAGGGACCAAGGACACATTTTTAGGGAGCTAGAAATCAGGAAAAGTTGCCTAACAGTATATTAAGATGATGTGAAGCTGACCTCTATCTAGTTCCTATTTCATAACTTTAACAAAGGTACAGTATGTTAGTGTTTTCTTAAGCAAGTGTATGTCAACATTCAATGAAATACCCTGTCCCTGGTTCTGAATTCTAGCCTAAGCACAATGGCTGAACCTGGGCCTTGCTAGGCTTCCCTGGTGAAGGTTCCCTAACACTGCAACTTGGAATATCCACTTCTGACTTTAGGTTTTGCCAGAAGTCACAACTGTGCTCATACTAAAGGAGCTTGCAATTACCAGGCAGAGTTCTTAAAAGAATGTGTTAGAATTCCAGGGCTAAAATGACTTATTTTATCCTGTGTTTATCAAAATCTAGTTCTTTTTATCAACAGCCTATCTTATTCCATGATTCTTGGTATTTCATTTCCAGATGTACCCAACGGGAAATGAAAATAAACTAATTCTCTTGGGAGACTGCTCAGTCCTAGGTCTGTTCTTTCCTGTGACATGATTATCACTATCCAGGGAATCAGTTTCAGGAGGAAACCTAATAGTGGTCATGACTGGCCCCACAGTGTGCTTTATCAGAATAAATTCTGAAAAGTTAAGAAGTTTAGGTTTCAGTCTTTTTTTTTTCTATGACAAATATCTTCCTGTCACTTTAACCTTGGAATAGAAGACATCTCCATTTTTATGTACGATAAAAATAATTATGAATAATTAGTTCTAAATAAAAAGCATTTAGTTCTAAATCACTTATTTTCAACTAAACATCAGGCATATAAAATAATATAATACCATGATGGATCTGAACACAGCCTTCCATGAAGAAGCTTGAAACGGGTATTCAACACAAATCAGATCAGTTTAAATAACATCCCTTTGAAAAGTGTCATACAAGAAAGAGTGAGAGCTATGCAAAAGATTCTGGCTTGCTTTCTGGCCTGCTTTATTTTCCTTCACAGGGGACACCAGGGAGAAGCCTACTGGGTTTCCGTCGCTCTGACTGTTGTGCTTGGGTGCGGCGAGAACTATGTGCTCTCCTTGGGTGGCTGGGTCACCTGTGGCAGCTGCAGTGGCTGGGTGCCCGTGGCCGTTTTGATAGAGTTCAGGGTTTTGCTAAACCAAGAGTTTTTGGCAGCTTGGATTTCATTCATAAGGGCTCCTCTCTGATGTTCAAGTTCCTAATCAAAGAAAAAATATCATCTGAGTTACACAAGTGTTTTCTATCTGAGTTATATAAATGTTTTCTCTGTCAAAAAAACAAGAGTATAGCTTTTGGAATCCCCAGGTCTATATAGCAAATGTTTTCCTCCCACAAAAGCCAGGAGAGATTTAATTGGCTTCTTAATGCAAGAAGAGTTACCACTCAACCCAGAATCTGCACTTTCTCTGAACAGTGAAATGAAACCTCATTTTAGTTTTACACCCTGCAATTTTAGGTCCAAATTTAGGTTTAGGTTGCAACCTGAGGTAATATATTTAAGACCACAAATAAAACATTTAAGTGACTATATTTCTACTGGTGCAAACATGAATGAGTTCCCATTGCAAACCCATGGCTTTCGCACCAAAGAGCATCTAAGGTCCAGCGCAGACACAGTTAAGAGTTGCTAGCGTGGCACAGGTTGGGGCATATGGTGGTGGGGAAAGATCACTGATGAAAAGGAAATGGGAACAGTCCATCTAAAAGCAGGACTATTTTTCTAATTATGTTATCCTCTAACACGGAAAGGGATTATGGGGAATGGGATTTGGCAAAATCAGGTGAAGGTGACAAGAAGTTCCAAAGCTAGGAATGGGCGTCAGCCGACAGCCCACTGTCAGGGAAGGGGCGGCGGAGGAGCCTAACTTTCACCTGCAGGGTCAGCTGCCGAGGGACCAACTTCAATGAGAACACACCTTGGCAACAAATGTCGGTAGATTTAAAAAGCGTATGCTTAAATTCTCAAAGATACAGTTTGAATTATTAAACCTTCGTTTGAAATTAAGGGTTTGTTTATACCAGTGTTTATTAAAAAATAATGACATAAAAACTATGGCAAGACACATCAGTGGGCAGGAAAGAGATTCATCATATCCATAACACCTCAGGATTCTGAGCCAGACGGGTGCATTTTGAGGCACTAGAATACCCTAACCCTAGACCACTGTTTGCTTTCTCTTGTTCTTTACCGGATCACCAACCTGGATCTTACACTTGGCCTCCACCAGCTGCAGTTTGGTTTGTGCCAATTCCAGCTCCATCTCCCTCAGCTGCTTCTTGAGTGAGTCCTTCTCGTCATCCAGTTCGAGTCCCTGGTCCTCTCTGCTTGTGGCTGCTAGTTTCAAAGTGCCCTCCTTGCTGAAAATGTCACTGCAGTGTTTACACGCCATCATTTTACCCTGAAACAGCCAAAAGAGAGGACCAACATCAAACTCTATGTCACAGCATAGATCACTTCCTGAAATGATACAGGCTTTTTATTTGGGGGTTGCTTGTTGTCATCAAATGCAGGCCCACTTCTAAAGGTAATTATTGCTCTTGTGCTGCAACCAAAATGGATCTAATCAGCACAAAATGCAACTGTCTGTGAAGAGTGCTCCTGTTTCTTCAAGTATCTCTAGAGAGACCCTGGGAGTAGAAATACGATGGCATCCCTTTGAAATATGTTCCAGAAATTTTGCCCTACCATGACTCTTAGATCCCAAGCCCCATGTCATATCCTCTACAGGCAGGACCCTCATTAAACCCTACAGCTAATGCCTCCAGCCCCATTTGATAAATGAAGAAACTCAGAGTTTAAGTAACCTGCCTCTAGTAGACCGAGGAAGGTGATTATAACTAACCTAGATCTACCCCCTTGGGTCAAAGTGTATGTCCTTTTGTTCAGCTTTAAGCAAGGATGATCATCATTGTTCAAGGTAACAGAAGTAATCACCGCGGGCCTGGGTCGCCAGTCCAGCACACAGCACTCAACAACAGTAACTCTTCTCAAGACCATGTGCTATTGTTTTCTTAAAATACCTCCAAAAATACTTCAGAAATAAAAGATATTACAGAATATTTCTATTGTGATGTCCTGCTGTTAAAACAAGCTCCACATGCCCATAACTGAAACTATGCTCCACACACACACACACACAAAGCAACTCTCCCCATGCTTCCGTGTCATGGGGCACAGCTCCACCATTCAGGCCTGCAGCGCCTTCAGTGTCTTCTACTCATTAGCTTCTCCTTCATTTCACATTCAGCCCATAATTCTTCCTCTGACATGTCCAAGCTCTGTATCCCAGGCCTGAGTCTTTGTCAGACACCTTCTTGACCCCACTGATTTCCTTCTTACTGTGCTTTTTAGATTACTGCTTGACTAATATTCATTAAACTCTTAAAAGATATCTTGTAACTCTCTTAAGAACCTATAAGAGTAATCAGCCCAGAACTGGCACTAAATAGGCATACAGAAGTATTTGTCATGTGTTTTTGGTTGACAAAATATTTGTTGAACAAATGAACAGTTAGTGATGGCTTTTCAGTCTGGGTCTTAAATGATTAAAAGTTTATGGAGCTGGGTAAGCAGTTTTATTAGGCTGAACCATATGAAGGAACAGATTAATCTCATGATAGGGAGGACATTTCAGCAGCGAGAACACTGCAGGGCATCCAAGGTGACAGCTCAAGCAGAGAGTACATAATGCACCAGGGACAGGTACGAAGTGAGCAGAATTCTCCACGGCCATGTTGCAAAGGTCCTTAAATGTAATGCTACTGATTCCTGATTTTATCCTATAGGAAAGGCATTCACTTCACCAAACCTGTGCCACATGCCGGAGACAGAGCTATGCGCCTCATGATGCCAAGTGTGCCAGGCATGCTGAGGTACTAAGGTACAGCAGAGGCCGCAGATTTCCACCCAACACCCATCCCGTCCTCAGCAACAGAGCCCTGATGTTATTTGGGCTAGTAAAATGCCTAATTAAAAGGTGCCATTTTCCCGGACTCTCTTGAAGTAGGTGTGGCCATGGAATTAAGTCCTGATATGTAAGCAGAAGTATGGTATGGAACTTCTAAGAAGGCTGTTTGGAGAAAGCTCACCCAGCTGGAGGTGGACCCTTATATATCCTTGCATCTCCTGGCCCAAAATTCTACCATCGAATATGGGTGTGAAGGTGGAAATGCCAGTTGACAGGCTTGGCTTTTAGGTGGCCTTGCGGATGAAAGCCCATGCTGAGGATGTGGGTCACCGATAGCTGATGAGCTGGATTTCTGACGGAACCAAGGCTCTTTCCCCTATTGGACTCCTGGTGCATGAGATAATCAACATATTTTGTGTTCCAGCCAATGTTTTTCAGGTTTCGTGTATGTGGTCAATCTAATTCTAAACAGATACACAACGTGATATAGTCAGTTTATATTTGGGAATGCTCATTCTGCGCATAGTGTAGAGGATTAACTGAAGAGGAGATGGTAATAGAGGAGGATGGAAAGTTGGGAGCTATGGCATCACACGAAACAAGAGATGAAGGGAAACAGCCCTGGGGAAAGAGGAGGCAGTATGACTAAGTACGGACTAAGGGTATGGACTGTAGTGTCTGACTCCCTGGCCTCAAATCCTGGCATTGCTGCTTAGCAGCTGTGTGACCTTGAGCAAATGAATTACCTATTTTGGTAATCATCATCAATTTAAAAAAAAGATAATAAGTCAGTCAAAAGAAGATGTAACAGGGCCTATCTTCTCAGGCAGTTGTGAGGGTTAAATGGGATAATACACATAAAACCTTGGCACATCACAATCAGTCAGTGTTTAGTAAGTGTTAGCTGTTGCTCTTTATTTGGCTAAAACAAGTTCAAATTCCTCTTCCTGAAGTCATGGCCTTTCATTAGGTAACCTACCTACTTATCCGGCATTTTCCTCTGTTCTGTAATACGCACTCTAATCACATCAGTCCCCTCAGTGACATACTGAGAGACTCACTGCAATGTCTGAGTCTTCTTAAGTCCTTTTTAAGAACGTCCTTTTCAAGTCCCTTTAACTGAATTGTACCCATCCTGCTCTAGTCCACCTTCCTTCATAGAGTCATCTTTGGTCTGTGGTTCTTACAATTCTGCTTTCTCTACCCCTCTGATTGTCAGTGTTATCTAACTCAGCACTTAGATCCTTTTGAACTATCTCTTAAATGTTTCACGGGCATATGTATAACTTGCTCCTGTAGGAAAACTCTTAAGTTTTTGTCATATATAATTTCTGTAAAAATACAGAAGTCTAATAGCGATGTCTACAATAGATGCTCAATAAAACCTTTACTGGGGGATCAGTATAAATCCTTGATTCATTTTTACTTCCAGAGATTTTAGTTCTGGACTAAAAAGTTAACCCTTTTATGCCAAGACACTTCATCAACTGAGTCTCAGTCCGTGTTCCTACACTGGTCAAAGAATGATAAAGGATAAGTAGGAAGAAGGGCAAAGGAAGACCAGAAAGGGATGGTATGAACCCGAATTTCAGCAGCTTTGGGAAGGGAAACCACTAACTCTATACCCACTAATAATCACAGGCTTTTCTTTTTTAAACCTGAAAGAAGAAAAAAACACTTCTGGAAAACAATGTCAGAATAAGGTTTATGTTTTCAATTCTCATGCCTCAGATTTTCAGGTTATTAACATATAAATATGTATTTTTGAGTATGTACTGTATAAGTATTAAGCTAAACACTGTATACACATTACCTTATTTATTCTGCAAAATGATCTTCTGAGGCAGGCCATATTATCTCTATTTTATAGAATGCAAAATAAAGCTTAGAAAGATTAAAATGTCTTGTCCAATTAAATTATATGCTAAAGTGACCAGAAGGCATTTATTTACTAGTATGAAACCTGAATATATTCAAATGGAAGTGTGTCAGGTTTCTGTAACACAGGTCCCAGCATGGGCTGTACAAGCACTGCTTCTTAAGCATACCGTTCAGTTTACCCTGGTTTGTACAGAATAAACACTCCTTTTTTCAAATAGACAATCAACATAGGGAGTTTACCACCAGGGGGCAGTATGTAAACAAATGCTACAGGTTTTCTTGCAAAACAATCCTCTAAAGAACCAGTTACCCAACACGTGTTTTCCAGCCAATTCTTGCAGTTCTCTTTTGTGCCTGGTGCTTAGGGTTCATGAGAGCAATCGGACAATCCTACTGGGCTGCACGCTGGAGCCATATCAATCTGGGTGCAGTCAGGAGGCAGGCTGCCCAGGGTTCCCAGGTTTCTCCCATCCAAGAGCCTCCAGGCGGCTCTGGGACAACCCTGGAGCCCCACTGCCTGCCTGTGATAGCCAGTAAGACTTACGGGCACTTCACCTTTCAGCTGGCAGGGAAGAGAATCCACCCAGATCAGAAGAGCTACTATTCTTCAAATTTCCTAAATCATTTAAAACGGAGCGGGAGGTGGGCGTGATTCTACAAGCTGTCCTGCCTGTGGGTGTCGTCATGTAATGGGATTTTCCTATCAGGTACTTACTAAAGACTGACTTTGGAAGAAGTTATATCACAGAACTATTTCACTGTTCCTCACCTTTACCACTTCCAGCTCCTCCTTGCTGGATGCCTGCTGTTTCTCCAGCCTGGTACTTAACTGGGAACAGATCTAAAGAAAAGAAGAGAGTTTCTTTACTGGAAAGTAGAACGACTCTTGCAGCGTGTGCACGTAACTGTTTACCAAGTCACACAACCCTAGCATCTCTGATGCTAGAAGGGGCTCCAGATGAAAGTACATGTCTATCTTCATTAGTAGACAAACACATGGGGTAGTTATTTCTGTCAGTAGCCTTTGAAATTAGTTTCAATCAATCCTCACTTGGAATCAATCTATAGAATCTTTGCTGAATGCCCACTCTGTGCAAGGTACAATGCTGAGAATCTGAGGAAAAGAAATCTGAATGAGAAATGTATGTACAGCCATGAAGAGAGTCTCTGTTGGGTTTTCCAATCCAAATGTTTCTTTAAGTGGCAGAGTAAAGCAAAGGTAAAGTGACCAGGGAATATAAAGGCTAAACTCGTATCAAGTGGTTTGGCAACATAGCATAAAGTGAAGAGCCTAGAAGTCCAGCTCTACTGCTTCCAGCACTGTGTCCTCGGGCAGATTCACTGGCCTAAGCTGCTGCTGTTTCCTTGGGACTGAAGTGTTGTGCTGTGATAATCAATGGAAAAAAGTGTATGTGAAGGAATCAGTATAGCACCTGGCCAAGTTTAAGTGCTCATTAAATAAATCTCATTATTTTGAATCTGAAATAAGATGCTAACAGCAAATAGTAGAAACAGGTAGAAATAAGTGTTTTCGAAGCCAAAACACTGTTTAAAAAAACTACTGGAAGTTCAAATTCCTTGAGTGAAATAAAATCTTTTAATTTTGAAAAGCATAATAAAGTTAGGGGATGCCAAATTTTACAGTACAATTTGGACTAGAAACATAAAAGGTCTACCTCTATTATCAAAACACATTTAAAAAATCCCAGTCTATTCAAAAATGGTTCTAGAGACCAGAGCCTTCTTGCTCAGTTCAGTGTCGTTTCTGCAGATCCAGTCCCGTAGACAGCAAGCAGGACTGTCCTGGCTGCTGTTAAAAACAAGCAGTCTCCCTAGTAATTCTGGCAAGCCATATGCCCTTTTAAATAAACCCAAACATTGTGAAATATAGCCAATTCCAACTATAAAATACATTTACATTATGTTTTATATCCTAATTACCTTCAAACAGATTGGGCTGTTTCCTTTTACATTATGTGAAGTGCATGCCAGATAATATTCAAGGATAGTCCCAGTATTACTATTTTGAAGAGTGTTTCATATGGCGGCCACCCATGGCCTAACGTGGTGAAGAAAGAAATGCCTTTGCTGTGATGGCAAGTTCCATGGTACATGGTCTTTAACCTGTGTTGGTTAATGTCTAACCATCCCTTCTTCTAGTTACCCAAATTCAAAATCTCAGGATCACTTTCAGTGTTTTCCCTTGTCTAGCAAAAAATGACTACTTCTTATATCTTCCTCTGCTCTGTCGGACTACCATTTTCTGTAGTTCAGGGCCCTACATTTTCTTACGTAGACCCCACTGTTAGTCTCTTACTGGTCAGTGTCTTTGCCTGCGGGTCTCTCCACTTGGTTCTACATTTCTCACTGGGACAGATTAATGCCAACAGTATGTTCCTGATCACAGCAGTTTCCTGCTCAGACATCCTACTACAAATCTGAGGAACCTTCCTTGAACTGGGCCCCAGTTCACCTTTGTTTCTCTGCTGTACTCAAAATACGCCAAACACAATGATTTCTGTTCAATGACCTGTGCCTCCACACCTCTGCACATGCTGTTTCCCTTTCCACCATTTCCATCCTCTCCTTCTCCATCTCCACATACCCAAATCTCACTCAACCTTTGAAGCACAGCTCAAATCACCCCTTCTCCAGGAATGGTTTCCTCATTTCTCATATTTAATAGGTTCCCTTTCCTCCTATTTATGCACAGGTACTATCTCCCTATTACATGATCAGCTTCTAGAAGAGAAAACCTGAATTAACTCATCCTTTTTCCCCCAAAGAATCAAGTCTCTCGTATAGTAGGCATGAATAAACAAATATTATCATAGGAGAGTAAGGCAGCTCTGAATCCTTATCTCTATGGTATCTTCCATAAAGAAGAAAAATCCATTTGAAAAGATGTTCATAATATATGAAATGAACTAGTTTCAAAAAATACCATGAACATATTAGACATTTTTATTTAGACAGCAATAATGTGTACTCAGTATATTACAGTTATTATTTCTAGTTGGCAGGTTTAAGGAGAGTTTGTTTTCTTTGTGCTCTTTTATACTTGCCTAATTTCCTACAAGGAACATAAATTTCATTTACAAGAAGAAAATACTTTTTAAAAAAGGGTAAGCATCAGAATTTGAAGTCCTCTAGGAGGAAGGCGACCCCAGTGAAATTGTTGGCTAAGTAGGTGACATACAGTCCTTGATTAATTCTGGAAAACTGGAACTTACCTATTCTATTCATGGTCTCAGCAATTAGAGGAGTCCTCGCAATGGCCTAGCATGACCAGCAGAGACGAGACAGTATGACTCAAGCTGGCATGAGGGTTTTCTGGGCCACTCTGGTGATGGGGCCAGACATGCCCTCAGGGACAGCAAGCCCTCCATTACATTTTAAGGTTCACAGAAGGGGGACGTTCCTGCTAGCTTTGGCCTCCTTTGGGTGAGGCCACATAGCCATGTGGACAAAAAAGCTCCCACATTCTATACTGTGACATCAAAGGACACACTGATCCCCTAGCTACTGCCATTTCATACAATCACTGAGCTTCAGTCCTTGGCAAAGAGGCAAATGTTACTAATGTGGTTTACTGGAAATTAGCTTCTGAGTAGGGCACAGACAGAATCCCAATGGTAATAATAAAGTTTCTCGTTCCTCTAAATCTACCAAACATTGTAAACCACCACAAGATTGTTTTGCTCAATTAACCATTATCAGTAAGCATTCCAACCACTGTCTATTTCAGAGGAGGCAGCAAGCCACTGAATTTAAGGAGTGCAGTGCAGGCACTGTTCTGGAGATTCTAAAAACAAAAACGTTTTTTCCCGACACAAAACAAGAATAATTATTTTTATAGCAATAAAAGCCACAGCAGCACATTACCTGTTTATACTCAGCAATGATAGCTGTGGTCTTCTTTATTTCATATTCTGCCTTTTCTAGCTGTTTCCTAAAGACTTCTTTTAGCTAGAAGGAATGAGAATGAGAAACAGCAGGACTCAATCAAAATCTTAATAAATTTCCACAAACCCCTATAGTCAAGGCTGCCCGACTGAGAGTCAACAACAATGTTAACAACTATATAAACTTACCCCACTGAAGTTGCTTCTTGATCATTTAGAAACCTAATCATCTTACTTTGTGAATATAAAGTTAAAAAAGTGTCCATTCAGAAGCTAACTTTATCCTTAGGAGAGTCTAAAATCATCAGGGCAGGGTTCCACGTACTCTTGATACTATATAATAAATTACTAAAAACTATTTCAGGCCTTCCTATTCACAGTCCCCAACTGTCACTGCTGTTACCTCTCTGAAGGTAGAGCAAGAGGCTTTTGGACTGGAGTCGGGAAAAGATGGGGGAAGATAAGGTTCCTGAGGTCAGGAGATTCAGGGACTAAAGAAGCAGTGACTTTAGAAAGAGCTAAAGCGATACACAATGCAGGCACTTGCTACAGTCATAGAAATACTAAATTATGAATGCTAAACTTGAAACCAGTTATTTTTGTAGCCTGGCAGCCCTAGAATTCCAGGTAGAGGGGAAGGTTAAGGCGATGAGAAAGCTCAGGTACTGCTGGGTAAGTAGGAGGGAATTCAATTCTTCCAAGTTGTTGATCAAACAAAAACCAACTTTGGCTAATTACTTTAACTACATAATCAGAATAAATAGATGCATTCTGCATTGCAGCCTCCCAAATTGTGAATGGGGTATATACTCCTGATAATTCACCAATTATTGCAATTTGTAATTAGACTCTTAATCATTAGAAGATTTCTGTATTTCTATGTATCTGTTACATTAAATTATGAAAGCAACTTGTAGTTATATTGATTAAAACTTAGTTGTTTATATTAATCTCTATTCTCTATCTTACATAATCTGAGGACATAAACCATACCCTTCTCTCTCAGTGACAAGACTCCACTGCCTTCAGGACAGACTTAGCTGAGAGGCTTTGAGCAAGGGGCACTTAGGTTCTCTAAGCTATTATTTCCTCACCCGACAAATGAGAATAATCCCCATCTCACAAGGGTGCCATAATGACTAATACAGGATGTACACGCATATATAAACATGTGCACACACACACACACACACACACACAAAGGGAGGGAGCAGGGATTAAATTCATTTGCTAATAGCTTCGTTCTTTCCTAAAGAAATAAAGTAAACCCAAAAGAGGTAGGAGGTAAAGAAAAAAAAACATCAAAAAGGCCTAGATTAAAGTGGATAATTAGCTCCTGAAAAATTTGAGTATATCAAAATTAAGAATCTCGGTCCACAGTAAATGCCAAGTCATTTCATCATTTTCCAATTAAAAATAAGTCAAGGAACACTTTTTCCAAACCCTAAAAGATGCTAAATGACACATCCCTTCATCAGTAACTTCACTGGAACTTTTCCTGCTTGGACGTAGGTCTTTGAAATGCTTTGTGTTTGGTTTTATATTCAGTATTATTGATGTCTTGGAATGAAACTCATTAGAATAAATGAATTAATCACGGCTGGCCAGGACTGACAGAGATGGAGGACACTGGGGAATGCTCTTCTTCAGGGCAGCAGGAGGCATCAAGGCCTTGGGCGGAGGGGCCCCTCTACCACCCATCCGGGACTCCTTTGCCATGGTGGGGCCTGCAGCTGCTCAGCCTCACAGCTCACATGAAGACTGCTGGGTGCAGACTTCCAGGCTGATGCCTAAAGGGTTCCTTTTTTCATACCTCCAAGGAATAAGGCTTGAGAGCTCTGCTGGTAATGTGGGCACCCCTTCTTCTAAGTCATGAATCAGGCAAATTAAGTGTGACTGACTGAGGCAACTCCCAGCAGAGATCTCTGTAGGCTTTCGGCTCAAACCATTTCAGAAAAGTCAGTTACCTTGGAGACGCGACATGAAATTTGCAGAAGTGTCAAAGCTCTTGGATCATCATTCCAAGTCACTAAACTTAGAGAAAACTTAACACTCTTGCTAGATATCTCAGGAACGGCAAATTCCTAAAAGCTGTTCAAGGGCAGAACGTTGTCTCCGCTTCCAACACCCCTTCAAGAAATGCTGGGACCCAGTGCCACTCACATGTGCAGCTTTAACATCACCCTTGATCTAAAATAAATCTGATTTCGTGACAGGTTTACCGAGGTGGTCCGCTGCATACAGCAGCACGCCGGGTAAGGAAGGGCCCGCCTACACCTTTTACCTGGGCAGTCTCTCCCTCTTGCTTCCTCTTCTCTTCCTCGGTTTCCACCAGCCTCTGTTTGGTCAAGAGAAGCTCCTTATTCAACACATCTGCCTTGTCTTCTGCCTGCAACCAGAGCACATCACAATCATAGAGGGTAAAGAAAGTGCATGTATATTTTCTCCAAACCTAGTCTCTAGTTGTTATTGTGCCACATTAAGTAGCATGCCATTCCCGTCCCTCCGAGCTCACCCAGGGGTGGCTGCTTTCCCTGAAGGCTAATTATGTACCAGGCACTGGGCACATACCTCCCTGATCCTCATACTGTTTTACAGATGATGACGGTAAAGTTAGGAGAGACCCAATAACCCACTGGGGCACACGTCTACCAGAGCCATGGTCTGAATTCAGACTTGAATGGCATCAAAGCCCATGCTCTTTCTGAATGCTTCCCACGTTTTCAGATGTCACAACTGCACTCAAGCTACTGGCCGCGCTCAGGTGCATGTGGATTCAGAAAGGAATAACAGACAGGCTGACCCACAGACAACAGGGGAGAAAATCCCAAGACCCGCTGAGGAAACCGGCCACTGGACACTCACACAGGACGGTGAGCACGCACATGCCATGATGGAGATGGCCACACGAACGGAATCCAAACGGACAGGACCCTATTTCTACAATGGCCAAGGAAAACTCAGGGCGAGTCCTCTGGCCTTAGCTTAGATACAGAGCCGACGATGATGAGGAAAGCACTGTGTATCCATTTAACTTAGTTAACGTGAGTGTGTTTTACACTCCAGGGCCCTTGCTGCACCCTTGGGGTCTCAGCTTCCATCCACAGTGAGGTGTGACCTCAGCCCTGTACCTCTCAACCCTTTCTTAATCAGCTCCTCTCACGTTTCCCTGGATGGCACTTAGCACAATCTGTAACGACAAATTACATGTGTGACTTACTTGTCTGGCCCACTAGACATTAAGCTCTGGGGGGACAGGATCCACTCGTCAGCTTATCCCAGCACCGCACCCAGCATTAGGTACCCAGAAGGCACTCCGTATTGATAAGTGAATGGATGGGGCTCTCTGAGGCACTGCAGAAGTGGACTGTGTGGAGGGGATGTGGCTGAGTGCCTCAGGATGAGTTCAGCAGAGGAAACCACAGACAGACAGGTGGCAGCTATTTGAAGAAGCTATCCCTGGCTGCCAGCAGCAAAATGCTATCCAAGTGATTGTGAGAACGGGCCAGGTGGCCTTCTGTCTGTGTTTCGCTGTATCTCCCTCATGTCCAGATGGCCAGGCCAGCACAGTCTGCTGGGTACTGGCAGAGAAACTGCATTCCAGCTTCTCTGTTCTCACTGTATTTTAGCTCCCGAAGTCCCATATCCCAGTGGTTAGAGCTCTGTTTTCTTAGGCAGGAAATCTACACAGAGAAATAACACCCTAAAATCAGATGTGAGCCTCAACAAATGCAACATATATTTTGTAAATTAAGTATTCTTGAATTGTTATATTATCCGATGTAGATTATGGAAACTCAAAACTACGAATTCTAGATCTACAAGCCAGATGACTGAAGTTACCCACAGAGCAGGGAGACCCTTCCCAAAGTCTCTGATGCAGGGGCCCAGTGAATCAGGAGCAGCTGTGCCAAGCATTCCGTGTTCTTGAAAATCCAATCAAATCTGTTCCCTACAAGTTCTGTCTGCCATACCTGAGTGACAGCCCTGCTAATAAAAAAGATTACCATCTAACCTCCTCTTCCAGTACGCTGGCAATTTCCATTTTGTGAAGAGAATAGTTCTTTTATAATATACGTAATGACACTGAAATAAATGTTTTCAAAGCTTGGTTTCTTAAAGAGAGATTCACTCAGACTTTCAGCCTTCCGTAAACTTCTGAACAGTCAATGCTACCCTGCCATTCAGTAACAAGCTTCTTAAATTCTTCAGCATATCTAGACATACTATATTTTACATTTCTAATCCCTGAGAAGTCCTTACTTAAGGAGTCTGGGGGAGGGAGAGTTGTCAAAAGAGAAGGTTCTGTCAGAGAGAAAAACTAAGAGACTTGGGCCAGGAGCGAGCAGCAGGCCCCAAAAGGACAAGTGTAAGGAATCATTTATTTTTTAAAAGTACCTAATTACTTAATTAGTGTTTGTTTGCTTTCTGTATTGTTTCAAATGCCATCTGCTCTCAGGTTTGTCTAATGTTTGCCAAAGTGTTGTTATTTTTAAAAAGAGGTTTGATTTTGGTAAACTGGGAATGGAAAAGTACCTGCACTCTACGGAATGGGCCCAGGGTACCTCCCCTGAGGCGGGGCCCTGCCCTGCAGACAGCGGGCCGGCATGTTACAGGCGCACACGCCCTGCAGCCCATCAGATGTTGGCAGATCTGCATGGACAATTTTTATCGTTTCATCTAAATAATGAGCTTCAAAAGGCAGAGGGCCGGGTCTTATATACTTTTTGAAAAAGAGGGAGAGAGGTATGAAGGGAGGGAATAGGAGAGAGAAGGAATGAATGAAATAATCGTTTCTTCAGGGACTGGTCTAGTGTCTACACGATGTACTGAGGCATTGAATAATCAGTTACTTCAGGAGTACCAATCAGTACAGCATCATTCCAGACTGGTCCAAAAACAGATTTTCTTGGTGGTGAAACAAATTCTTAACTATGTTTTTTTTCTGGTGATTATAAAGTTATAATGTATATTCTGACTTAAACAAGGGTGGTTTAGAAATTTAAGGTCTTCTTATAAAAGATAATTGATGCCAGATTATTTCTAATTCAAAGCCACTTCTTCTGTATTAACATTTTCCCTCCTTCTGTGGAACAAGACTTGGGAGAACCAAAAAAAAAAGATAATTGAAAAAAATGAAAGTATAAAGATGAATATACATATTAGATTTACTCTTATCACCTAGAGAAATCCAGTCACAACATTTTGATATATTTCCTCAAAGGCCTTTTTCCTGTGGAGCCTTATTCTAGCCTCCTTTCCTATGGGTGACTAGGCCAGCCACATCCCTTGCAATTAGATGCAAACATTATATACAGATAAATTCAGTTTAAAAAAAACATTATCATATTATTACCTCCCCATTGTTTTTGTTTTTTTTTACCTCCCCATTGTTTTTTAAAAACGACTCCAAAAACATATGCTTTCACTGTCCCTTTCTACTGAACACATACATTATTCCTATTTTTTTTTCTTAAAAGTAACACTGCAGTAAACAACCTTGTACACATATTTTTGACCAAATCTCTTTTTCTTAGGATGACTTTCCAAGACACACACACATATATATATATATATATATATATATATATATATATATATATATATGTTTCCTCATTTGTAAAATGGAAGATTAAAATAATACCTGCTTAATGAAGTCATTAGGAAGATAAAATGAGATAATGCTTATAAATCGCTAAATATAGTGCTTGGTGTCAAGTAGGTACTCAGTAACTATTTTTAAAGTCTTTTAAAGGCTTTATATATACTATCAAATACATTTGCCACACAACTTTCAAATTACAACTTTCTCCATTTCACTGCATTCCCAGTTTTCATTTAAAACCTTCCTCATTTAGTTAGCATCTTAAGAAAACCATTAATGGATAAAAAGATTCAAAGTGGCAGAATCAAGTGTGCGTCGAGGCTGTTTGTAAAGCTAACGAAGCACCGCGAATTTCACGACGGCACGGAAGCACTCCTGGGTCTCTGAAGGCATGACCGTGCCGGCTGAGGTCGGCTGGGCGTGGCCGCACTGCAGGGGGACCACCCTGCCTCCCCTTGGTTCCCGTTTAGTCACACATTTTTCATACCACCTCCTACAACATCCAAGTAGGCTGGCTGACTGGGGTTTGTGGTTAAAGGGGCCCCTCCCCGCCCCCTCCAACCAGGGCCACTTTTTCTCCCTTCTACATCCTGTATCCCAAGCAGCAGTTTTTGTTTCCGTTTCAAACTCCATTTAGTGTTGCCTCCTTCGGCTTCCTCCTCTCCCGCTTTAGCTCTGTTCTCCTTGCCAGGGGTCTTATTTCCCATCTTACTATGGTTAAAACTTCAAGCTGCAAAATTAGCTGTTAATTGTGGAGGGACCATTTTTAAACACTGAAAAAATTCCTTCAATTTTAAACATTTGATCACCTTTCTATTATTAATGGGTCTGCATTTTAAATATTGTCATGGCTGAGTGAGAGCACAGGTGATACCTCTTTTCTACATATCCAACAGTCTAAGTCTCAATTTTTCTGACCCTGTACCATTTTGCTGGGAAGATTTGCTTTTTTAAAGAAAAGACAGTGATAATTTTAAATCTGCAGAAGACTCCTTCCGTATTGCCAATTATCTTTGAAAACACTGGAAACAGAACACAGAAAGTCCTAAAGCTGTCAGTACTTGGAAAGAACAAGGAAAGTTAAGCAGTTTAAGGTCTTTCTAGCAACAGCTAATGTTTATTCAACACATACTACTGAAGTGCTTGGCCTTATTTAATTCTCATGCCATTCCTACAGACCTCTTTTTATACCTATAGTTAGGTGAAGAACTGCCCCGGGTCACTGGGCTAGTAAATGGCAATGCCAGGGTATACATTCCCAGGCAGTCTTGGCTCTAAGCCACTAGGATGCCTGTCAATCCAACAGTACATATATCTTAATGTGCATATTTCATATGGAATCTTCCCATTTATTGTAGATGAGAACTCTTCATGGAACAAAAAGTAAAGTGCCTGCCAATATTTAGAATGGCATTAATATATGCTCGGTGACTGATACTCTCAGGTAATTACGCTGGCAGCCCCTTGGTTTAGGAAAAGCACAAACAAAGAGAAGAGACACAAGAGAAGTTTAGAGGCATAAAAAACTATGTTGGAGATGCTGTCTGGAAATGACCTGAACCTTCCTCAAAGGCTTGCATTTCCCACCCTCTCGGGCTGCACAAGCGGTCCCCTCCCACCTCCTGCCCCCCATTCATCCGTCAAGCAGCTCAGGGTCCAGGACAGAGGGGAGCCCAGCAGGACTGTGGTGAGTGCGGCTTGCTCCTTGCCCTCGATGTGGGCATCACGGTCTTATCGCTACCTAGTGAGTGATACGTTTACCTGATCCAAGTCATTCCGCAGAGCAATTTTGCTGGTTACGAGTTCGTGGGCGAGGTCATCATTCTCTTGTTCTAACCTCATGCTGGCCTCCTGTAATCTGCGGTTCTCCCTCTGCAGAAAAAGAGCAACAGCCAGAGGTGGGCATTAGTGCCTGGAAATCCTGGCAGGAACAAATGGGACTGGCAAGGAGAAACAAGCAACGACAAAGTGAACGTTTGAAGGTGTCAAAGGAGAAGGCGCAGGAGGTACAGGAAGGCAGGAAGCTGTCTGGGAAACAACAGTGAGTTAAGCTAGCGGTGCAGACGCGGTGCTCCACCCAGTGAGACTTACAGTTTTCCCTGAAACCCTCCAGACAAGACTTCATTATAAAAAACATACCACAAATAGCAAAAGTTCCAAACATACCCCAGTCCTGTGAGGTTTTCATACAGACCTAGAACACAGACACAGGCAATTCTTTATTTGAAGCATGCACGTTAATCCAACCCTTGACCCCAAAGGAAACAGTGAGACACAGTAGGGGTGAAAAGGGGGACCCACTAAATATTTCTTGCAATTGTTTTTCCAGTATCAGGGTTCAAACTAACCAAGTATATTTAAGAGCACTAAATTGGATTCCTGGGCTCATGACTTAGCGATCAACTGACATTTTTATTTTTTGGGTAAAAATACATTTACTTTTCTGAACAATTTTTGTGTTAGAGTAACAGTCCTTATAATGTCTCTAAATGTTTCTCTTGGTTTTTCAAAACTTCAGATTAAAAAATTCTGGGTAAAATAAATTGCTGACCTGTTTTTCTCCCCCCTTCAACTGCCAGGAAATACCTGAAACCAAAGTTACATGATGAAAGCCCGCAGTCACATTCTTATGAAGCAAGGTCTCCCCTTTTCTAGCCATCGTGAACCTTGTATGTTCACGTCTATTTTCAGAATAGCGACTTAGTGTCTTCCAGTCCAAATATCAAAAGCACTTTCTTTGTTACTATTAGCAGTTACAGAAGACTCAAAAGAGATCTTGACAGGAAAGACTTTGATGTGATGAGACCTTCCTGTTTTTCAGACTGACACTCCTACCAGTGTTTTCTGCAAGGGCGGCAGAAACTCAGACACAGCAGCATTGCACAACCAGAAGACACATCCGTGCCCTGGAAGGCAGTGTCTCACGGCACGGTGGGTGGGGTGAGGTGGATTTTAGCTCCTCTGGGACAACCCAAGGTTTCTTATATGGAAAAAGGAAAACCTAATTTCTTTTTGTTTTTTAAAGAAGGGCAAAAAAGCAGATGGTAAGGGAAAACAAAGGCCTGAGACCTTCATGGAGGCAGAGGGTCCTGAAATAGGGCCACCAGAGAAGCCAGAGGACAGACCTGCACTGTGACAGGGTCTATTTGTCTTCTCTTCTGGAAAAGGTGGACTGAGATAGTTGGGGAACATCAAAATGCTTTTGAAAAAGATAGCTACTGAAAAACATAAAAACAATCCCAGATTATTTAAGTCCTTTGAAATAAATTCATGGTAGAAGGACATAGAAAATAGCAGTGAAAAATTACTAATGACATTAGAAATACGTATGTTATAGAAAATAGAAAGACAAGTTGATGGAAAATCCCATTTTTGTAACAACATAAATAACATTAACTGTGAGTAGTGGATTATTTTTATTGTCTTTAAAATGTTTCTAAGTTTTCTACAATGACTGTATAATAAAATACATGTGTTAAAAAAGAAGTTTAAAAAGTTGTTTAAAAAATAAAAAGTGATTCAGAATTTGAATTCTACTGGAAAGGATGAAATGCCTAAAGGAGAATTTTTTAAAGTCCATTCCTGTGCAAAGCTCATATTCTATGCAAAACTGTACTGGATTTTCCCCTGTGATCAAGAAACAATGTAACCCCCTCAAAAGCACTGCTTTGCCAGGCACTTTCCCAGAATATTCCTGAAAAGACAGTGTACATATTTGTAGGGGCCAATTGTACTCCTCAAATTCTGTCTGACCCCTCAGTCTGCACAAGTTCTACCCTGCCACAGAAGCATAATAAGAGGATAGACTAAAATATAAAAAAAGCCAGGTGTTTACAGCTCAATTATCAATCTTTGCTTAAGTAATGTGGATGCCAGCAGGGGCTAACATTAAGTCAGTCTTTCATTCTGATGTATCTTACCCCTTTGTGTAGAAACAACTCACATACTTATTGACGAAGTATTAGAAAAAATGTTTCAGAAATTTTTCCAATAAACGTCCTCCTTGCCAAGGAGTGAGCAGCAAACACCCAGCAATTTCGTCAGAACCTATTTCCCAATGCACACTGTGTCGGCACTGAAGAGATTGTTCTCATTTCTTGATAAATCCCTTCAAAAGGGGCCAGGATGAAACTACTTCAATACGTCTTTCTGAGTTAAGTGTCCTATTTCTACTAAAACTCCACATGCAGGACTCCAAGGTGCACAAAGCCCCCAGCTATTATTTACACGACATGCATTTGGCACAAGTGAAAATGTTGCAGCTACACCAGTTTCTCAGGCCACAGTGACACACTGAGGGCTGAGTTACCATAACCTCCAGGTAAGGGCCCACGAAGCTCATGGAAAAGCACTTTGTTCTAAGTATTTAAAAAACACACCAGGGAGGCTACTTCACAATTGCCTGGAGATAAATGTCTGATGGGTTATATTTTATAAGCAAGAGAGGTGAGTTCTGCTTCTGACTGGCAACTTCCCAATTACAGTGACTTGCAACTCGAACCCTTCCTTATAGACACGCAGCTAAGGGGACAGGTGGGTGGGGAAGATTTGGATGAAAGTATGAATGTCTGAGAGTCCCTAAAAAGCCAAACAGCCTAAGGGGCACACCTACTGGCTTTTGCTTTAGCAAGAAGTTTCTGTTCGTGTCTGCAAAGCAAGCAGCATGGTGGCAGTGTGAGACGCCTGATCTGCACTCAGACACATGGGAAAGCAAGCTGGGGGACAAAAATGCAGTATCGTCCTCCAAAGCATGAACCGGGGGAGGGCGGGGGGGCGGGTGGCGCATGTCCCCCCAAGTCCTCCAGTGCCACCGAGTGTAAGGTGGCGAGCCACAGCTGCTGAGAGGGAGACTGTCTGGAAGGCAAACTTGCCCACGCTCACCAAGAGTGAAAGGGTGGCTTCACTGCTTGGCTGTCTCTTCCAGCCTTCCCCGAGGAGCTAAAACTCTTTTCAGAACTGACTGATTCAAGTTTTTGCCTGTATACTGGAGTGAAGAAAGTGGAGTTTTGAAGGGCTTGGGGAAGCTGGTGACTTTGCTTGGTTCACTCTGAAATATTGGCCAGGACTGCCTATCCAAGGGAGGCTGAAGCCAGCCCCGTTAACCTCAAGTCAGTCCAGAGACGCTCACCCACCCTAAGTTTGCACAAGCAGATGTGCCGAATGCTCAGAGCCTATAAACAGAACAGGCAAATTGCTTCCCTTGCCTTTCAAAAAGACTGTACGAGATGCTGCTTACACAACCCTGTAACTCACATTGCACTGTTGTAAATATCCTCCATCTCACACAAATGACACCCCTGAGCAAAAAGCAGACAACTTTCCTCCTTGATTCCCTTCCCTGGCATAGAGGACGGGCAGTTGGGAAAGTTTAGTTAGTAACTTTTGGGAGGAGGATACTGCATTTTTCAAAGACAGACATTGATAGTACAGACATACACAGATGAAAAACTTACCTCCTCAAAAGTCACAGACCAACTACCGTTTTCAATCATAGGTACAAAGACAATTGAAAAAAAAAAGAGTATCAAATGAAATTGCACACCTACTAATACAGTTAGGAAATGGCAATAACAAAAACAGATACTTGTTAATATTATTTGGTATTTTGCTTTTCCTTGGACTGTCTTATACTCTAAAACTGCAAACATTCACTAGCCACTGGGCAAGTCTCAACTCAGGAAGACTGATACATGAAGGCTCCTCTGTCTCCACAGTGCAGTTGCAGTCTGCATGTCTGTGAACATGCGGCCTGGGGACTATTCCCAGCTACGGGGTGCATTGTTTATGCTGTGTTCGCCAAGTTGGGTGGAAGGAACTTCCTTATATGACAAGGTCGGCAACCTTGCAAAATAGTTCATCTTCAGGCCACGCAATGAAATTGCTGGGTGGGGGACTTCATGAAAAAAAATGGATCCCAGGTCTCCTTTGTAGCTAAGGGCTGAAGTTGGGGTGAAGCAGTAAAAGGGATGGTAACTGTCACTGATTCCAAGATGAGAAACCAGAGAAATATGAACTGGCAATTTCAAGAAAATAAACTAAGCCTTAAAGGAAAAAATGATGGGGAAGGAGTGGCTTTAGAAGCTCTAGATCTGTATTTGGGATGTGTTGTCTGTTGCTAGAGTGAATTTTTGGCACATGTTTTTAAATACACTTAAAGGTCAGAAGAAAATATTTTTCCTAAAAGTACAAGTTTATCAGTAATACACACTTAACTCTCATATGCTTTCTTTTGGATATCTCTTTCAAAAGAGACAAAAATCATATTCAAATCTCAGTGAATGGTTTTTTGGCATTCAAAGACAAGTGCCTAAAGGTGAAATGTTTAAATGTCTATATTGTCTTTAAATGAAGATCTCAAAAAGAAAATCAGGATATTAAAAATCATTTTATGCTCTTTCTTCACCCAACATATCCAATTTTATCTTTCTGGTGGAAATTTTGAAAACCTTAAATGTTAGATTGAAAACAAAATTGTCTCGGTAATAACTAACTGGCAGTTGGCAAACCAGACTGCATTTCTTTTAGGATTTAGAAAACAATCTTAGATTATACTCTAGCACAGGGGTCAGCAAACTTGCAATGTAAATGGCCAGATAATAAATATTTTAGGTTTTTGGGTGATATGGTTTTTGTTCAGACACTGAACTCTGCTATTGTTATGCAAAAGCAGTCATAGCTAGTAAGTACACAAATGGGTGTGGCTGTGTCCCAATAAAACTTTATTTAAACAGGCAGTCGGCCAGATTTGGCCCATAAGCCATGGTTGGCATCTCTCTGCTCTACTCTAGTATACAAAAAAATTTTTTTTAAAGCAAATGGGTTACAGATGATGTAGAAACATATTAGTATGATGTAGTTTTCTCAGTAATAGAAACAGGAAGCAAAACTTACTGGAAACTGAAGAAAAGTTTTAGAGAATTGTGAAGATATCAATATACATACTCAGAAATTCTTAATAGGCATGAAATGTATACCTTCCCCAAGGGTTAAGTATAACTCAATCAGCAGACAAGCATGTTGAGAAACCATCTTCTCCATCTCAGCTAAGCTGCTCAAGGAGCCTCCAGAGGGTTTAGGGTGGCATTCTCCCCCATCCTACAACACTCTGTTCACCAGATCATCCAAGTGCAAAGAGTCAGAATGGCAGCCTTCTCAAGTTTATCACTAGTTATCTCAGGCAGATAGAAACCAACCTCTCGACTATTACTATTCACTAAAAGCTTATTATTTCATAACATAAATATTTCCAAAAGCCAACAGTCTCTGTGATGTGGGAAAAGTAATAAAATGTAAGTGCATTTCCACTGGTAGAAACAAATTTTTCAAGGATGGATTCACTTATCTTGACTTTCCTGAGTGAGGAAGAGCCCACCACATAAGAAAAAGGGAAATCTTTTTTTTTTTTCCAGGTAAGCAGTTTAGCAGAATTTAAATTTCTCTACTTGTCAAATTAAAAGCAAAATTGCTTTAAATTTTTTCATTAGATATGCAAAGATGGAAATAAGCTTTACTTGAAGTATTTTGTTTTGTTTTTACGATGTATAATTAAATGGCTTAATTTTAAATTACATGCAAGGCCAGTTGCTCTACAGAAATTAGTATGTGCAAGAAAAACTTTTTGTAAACTCAGAGGAATCATTTTCCCCCTGTTTGAATTAAATTTTGATAAAAAATTATTCTGTCTCTCAAAATGAAGTTAAGCATTCTAAATTTAATTACACTGAGCATGGATAAGATATTTCAAATGGCAATTACATATTTATAATACTATCTGTGTACCAAACCCAAGAGAGGTTAAGCATTCCTGACTCTTTCTAGGATTTGCCCATCCAGAACAGGTAATAACATATCACTCATTATGCTTTGGGAGATTCACTGAATTTAATTAATCAGCTGTGCTTTTTAAGGCTTAACCCAATTCTGTGCAAGTAGTTCTTTAATTAAAAAAAGCATATTATCTTCCAGAGGTAGATGAAGACTGTAGTACTCTATAAAATACTATCAACAGATTACATCATTAGAAAACCAACTTTCCCCAAATGGAAACAATTCATCTCCTTAAAAAGAAAATAATATTTTAATTTCTGAAATTGGTAAATGCTTATTAGGGGCTTGGCTATTAATTTTTAAGATGTACTAAAACACCAACATATATTCATGAATGTTTGTTTTCTGGGGACTTGTATGAAAATGAAAATGTAAATGATTTATTTCTACAGATAAATTTTTATATTGTACTTCACTTCATTTGAAATCAATCAATAAATTTACAAACCAAAATATGAGTACATAAATGCTTCTATATAGGTTTGGCTTAATGACAATAAAAGAGGCCTAAAAGAAATATTCTACATTCTTCTTTTAATAGTTTCTTTTCTATATCTTGGAGTCTCATTATGAAGATAAACAGAAAGAGCACACCAAAGGCTGTTAGCAGTCATTACGGAGCTTGCTGAGTTTCAAATATAAACTGATGCCAAGACCAGGTAGTATAGGTACTATGTATACAACTGCATAGCTTATGTACGTTCATGTATGTGTATATATATGAAGTAAATACATATGTAGGTATGAAAATGAATGTACTATATTGGCCTTTCCCCTATAAATGTGGGTACACATAGGATATGTAGGCATTAAGTAGCTACAATTCAGACACAAAGGTCTGACCTTTCACATGTCTGACCTCAAATCTGGTGTGACTTTATAAAAGGAACATGGTGGGCTAGATGCCAATCTCTTGGAATATTTCGTTCGTTTTTTTTTTTGAGGTATAATTCACATGCCATAAAATTCATCTTTTTAATGTACAATTTAGTGGTTTTAGTATATTCACAAAGTTGGTTCAATGAAATAAAAAGTGAACATTTCCAGGACACAGATCTTATTTTTGACAGGATTAAATTTACAAGACGCTAAGAGGTATTTTCTAAGACACTTTCCTTCTTTAAGATAATTATAATTCGCTTCTTAAACTAGATATTCAATATCTGAGAGAACAAATCTGTTGATGGTTCGAAACTATGTTGCCAATTGTCACCTTGAAAACGTGATTCTAATTTGAGGACTATAACTTTACCAAGTGTATCACCAGTACAAATGTCTGGACATTATTAAAATAGCATAGAGATATTAGTTGTTGGATATATTGATAAGCTATTGCAATAATACAAAAGAAGTTAGCTATAGAAGGTATCTGATATACATCAACAGAAGAAGCCACAACTCAAACTTAAAAGTAATGTTTTCAAAACAAAAACAAAAAAAGTTTAATTCTACTTTGACCTCTCAGTAAAGATTTTATACACTTATAATCTTATGAATGATGAGTACTTTTTAAAAGATAATATGTATTGTACTAGTTACACATGCCTGCTTTGACACAAAAAGGATTTAACAATAAGTTCAGGCCAGACTGATTTTAAGTATACAGTTTGAGTCTTTCCTTGTCCGCTCTTCTATTTTAAAGCACTCTTCCTAGATTTTATTCATAACGATGGCCCCAATAAGAAAATTAGAATGATACAAGCAGTAGGAGAGCTTCATTTTGGACCTTAATAATATTTTATAATTACTACCTTCAAGCATTTCTAAGGTTGTATGCTACATGAGCTAAATTAAAGTTGATTTTATTGGCAGGGGTGGTAGTGGAAATTAGCTTTAGGCCTTATTCTGTGAGCACCTTATGTATTAACAGTTATTTACCACAGCAGTAGGTGGAATTTTATTGTCCGTTCTTCAGCCAGTTCTATAAACAAGGGAAGAAACACACTGATGTTAGACTATTGGGAGAACTTATCATTAGAACCTGGGAGAAACATGAGAAAGATAATGAGGGGCTGGCAGAGCAGATCCATATAAATAGATACTTTCATAATACTTGGGTAATTTGAGGCAATAGGCCTAATAAGGCTAATAGCCATTTATTCAATACCATCTACTTGCCAGGTACTTAACTTACAACATCCCTCATCCTCACAACAATCCTTCAAGATGTTTATACACTATATGCTACATGGATGAGGAAGTGGCTCAATAACTATTCCAAGATGCTGAATAATGGTATAGGGATCAAAACCCCCAACTTGGATTCCAAGTCCTGTGTTTTGTTTTGTTTTTAAAGAAAGTCAGCATTTGAACTCAGATCTGACCACAAACCCATAAACTCCCTCCACCATGACCCTCTGTGAACCCCCCGTGGCTATTCAATTTAGCAATAGAGACAAGAAGCACTGTGCAACTACTGCTGCCCATGTGCAGCTCTCTGACCACATCAAGGCAGCTCTAGTTACCAAAGTGGAAGTCATCCCACTGTGGGATTTAATCGATGATCTATTCCAGCACCTTTTTTGGCAGGACATTTCAGCAATGGTGGTGTTTACGGCAAAAATACAACACTCTCTTATCTTAATGAACTGATGTGGACAAGGGAGGGAACCATTAACCATCTGTAGGAATTTGAAGAATTAAAACACATTGAAGAGGGAGAGTAATATTGGAAAAAGTAAGTTAGAAATCAGTGTTTCCCCAAGACTCCGTCATGGAACAGTGTTGCTAATCACCACTGAAGAGGTCTACCTTTGGGAAAGGGCTTATGTTTTAAAAATACTGCAATCAATGGAGATATTAAACAGAACTTTGATTCTGAAGCTGCATACTGTAGGGAAATATACTGTTACCCATAAATTCTTTTGTGGAAATAAATGTTGCAACAAACACCATCAGTGTGAGCAATACACCTTTGTGGTTTTTTATTTTTCCTTCCAAATGAGTTTGTATTTTTAACATTTGCTACAGACAGAGGTCTGGAATATTCTTGTGCCAGTCTTGGAACAGTTCACCTTCTAAAAGTCTCTCTGGATGTGACCATACACAGTTAAAACAGTATTTTGCCATTTTCCTTTTTTTTCTCATTTTTGAAAGTAGTTGATAGCCACTTTCTTTCTTTCTCTTTCCCTCTCTTTCTCTCAGCTTCTCATGAAGATCCCCAGAATAAATGCAACGGGTGGAGTTACCTACAAATATACAAACTGAAAGAAAAGAAATATTATGGTTGGCTACTCAGCAGTCTCCTGCAATGAAAACATACCTGGACATTTAGCATAGTCAGAAAATGTCTAAATCAACCAAGAAGGAACATAGGGAACTGAACTCCACAACTGCTGTGCAGGATAAAGAAGGCACTCTGCTCTGACGGGCGGCCCCCGAGTCCCATACCTTGTATCTATCCATTGGGTCTTCCTGCTGCAGCTGGCTCTCCCGCATTGTCTGATATTCTTTCTCATATTTCTTCAGCTTCTTGGTTGGTACCTGCAGGGATTAGAGGAAGAGCATGTTAGACAAAGAGGTTACTGAGGAAAACATTTTCTGATGCGTTTTCTGATTCTAATGGAGCACCCCCAACTCAAAGTAGGGGAGAAATCTAGATCAGAGAGCAGGGCTCTGCAAGCTTTTTCTGTAAAGGTCCAGATAGTATACATACTAGGCTTTGTCAGCCATAGAGGCTACATGACAATTGCTCCACTCGGTTGTTAGTGCACAAAAGCTGCCATAAGTGATATATGAAAAAATGGAGTGGCTGTGTTCCAAAAGTTTACTTAGGAAAACAGTAGTTTGTCCATCTCTGTTCTATAATCTTGCTGATATGTCATAAATTATTCTTGTTAACGTATTTAACAGTGCTATTAATTCTGTTAACTACCTTTAAGTAAAACTCACCCAGAGGCTTCAACCGTGTTGAGAGGGAAAATAATTTTGCAAATTAAAAACTGAGCAACAAATTGTTTCAAATGGAGTTAATATACCAGCGAGAAAGAAGATTCTAAAGTTTATCACTGAAAACACAAGGCATACAGAACCACTGTGCTATATGATGTAACAGAAAATCATCTAAACAACTTCTCTATTTTTTGTTAAAATTGTTATCCTTAAAAGACAGCAGTCTACTCTTTCCTGAAAAAAGACTAGAATCTCACAGAATGTCTGAATTCTAAAAATAATAAACAAATGAGTATAGCATAGTATAAAGGCCACAGAATTTGGCACTAGATAGGCCAGGGTCTGAATGCCTACTATGTTCCTGTTAACTGTGAAACCCCTTGGCAAACAGGTATGTAGCCATTCTTAGGCTGAGTTTCTTCATTTATAAAATGGCAGGCAAATAAATTTCTACTTCATAATGATTGTCAGGAGAATTAAGGGATATAATATAAGTAAAATTTCTAAAATAATACCTGGTGCACGGACTTTTTAAAGTTATTTTTAAATATTCAATAAAGTTAATGGGTTATTATCTACTAGAGTCCATTTATATCAGATTAAGTCTGCTTTCAGGCTTTCCTTGGACAATAAAAATTATATAATTCCTTTAGACATCAAAGTCTTCCCTCAATGTTTAGGTCCTAAAGGTTAAGTGACTAGAAATTAAGAAAAAAACTAATTTTTAAAAAGATAACAAATGTGTTATTTTGCTGAATCCCTGGGGACTCAGTGACGGCAAGGAGGAGGTGTTGATGCCCCTCAGTATCTGTCATTGTACTTCCACCAAAGTCATTTGGCCCATATGAGGCCCTCAACAGATTGTTTCTTGTCAAGTTCAAAATATGGCATTACACAACATGTACTATGTGTATGACAGAAAGCAAGACAGAATGCAAAGCACCCAGAATGACTATAAAATTATCTTATGGTTTTCTTGGTGAGTGTTAATTCTCTGGAATCCAGCCAGAGAATTTGTTCAATAAAGAGCAAAGACATCACGTGCCATTCCCCATCTTTCTCTAATTGCTCTGTCCTCCCCATCCTGGAGCACTCTGAAGTCCTGGATTGTCTGCTTCTCACCACTACTGGCAAGTTTTACCAGCTTAGTCCAAACTTGATAGACAGTCTAAATCATTCAACAACTACGTGATGACAATATTCATCCAGCTGAGGGGGGAAAGTCTCCCCAAACAAAAAGGAAGGACATTTTCCAGGGTGTAACTGAACTGCAAAGCCACTGTTGAATGTTGTCATGAGGAACTACAATCCTTTACTCCCCCATCCCAGAGACCTTCAACAGCACACTGTGACCAGTGGAGCACAACCGGGAGGGAAGCACCACCTTCCAGCTGTGTGGCCTCAAGATCATCAGACAAACAACAAGGAAAATACACACGACTATGTGCTAACAAAGCAGCAGCAGCCACATTATTTTTCTTGACTTTGAAGGTGCCTCAGTTTCCTCTAGTTTTCTTTTCTCTGTCTGTATTAATTCCTACACTCTGGAGAAATAAAACAGACTCTCCAGATGAAGGAGCGAATCACTAGCACTGAAGTAGCCCTGAAACTGAGGAAAAAAGGGAAGAAAGTTCCAAGTTTTAAGCAGTGACAGGTGTTTTGTATGACAGGGGGGTCAAGGGGAGAATTGAGAGCTATGTACCATGTCTACTCCAGCAGCCATTCACCCACAAGATCACAAGTATTTTGCTGCTTTTGCAATTGAACACTCACACCAGTGGGTACCAGGATGTACATCTGTCCTATATATGCAAGTATTTTCTACATGGTTTTAAAATGGAACCACTTGCCAAGAACTGAACTACATATAGTAAGCTTATTCCTAGAAAATTTCTGAAACTATTTAAGAATTCAATCTATTACTGATATACTTTACATGTAAAAGAGTGTCCTTTTAAAAGTCATTCCTGCTACTTATGTTGAGGCTCATTTCTAAGTGAAATTTTTAAAAAATGCATTAAACACCCTCAGTAAGCTGATCCTTTACCATATGGCTGAGATTCTAGGATGTTTGGCTTCATCTTGTTCAGGAAAACAGAGCAGGTTCCCAGAACAGTATGTTGCTAGGAAACCTCCCAAGCTTATTTATCTTGGGCTGTGGGGCGATATTGAGCATCCACCTGTGACTGGAACAAAGTGAAATGGGGAAAGGGTACAGGAGGAAGGCCAGCTGAGATGAAACTCCTGATATTCAGGAGATAACCAAAGAAAACAGACTTGCCATTTTTAAAACTATATTTCAGAACAAAATTGATTTTACTTAAGGGAATGTAATATTGAGCTTGAGATTATTCCTTACCAGAGAAAGAGACAGAAAAACCTCCTTAGTATTCAGTTTTCATCAGAAGAACAAAAAGTCATCAAGAATTATTAAAACTGAAACAATCTATTATCTTAAGAGCAATATAAGTATCTCACTTCTTAGGTTAAATAAATGTAATGTAAGTGTGCACTTGAAGAATGTGTTAAGAACCCCCAATCCTTTTAACAGTCTACCTAATTTGGAGTCGAGTTCTACTAACCATCCATCTTCTGCATGTCCAATACCTCATAGTTGGCTAAATTCAGGAAATGTCCTCCAAGAATCCACGATTGTTTGATAAGTACAACTGATAATGAGCACTCAACAGTTCAAAATGGTATTTATTAAAAACAACCAGAAAGTAGAACCACCCCAGCAAAACAACTCTTATTGAGCGCAAGCGCCATCATTTAAGTAATCAGCCAAGATTCAACATTTTGGACTTGACAACTACATTTAAGGAAGGCAGCATTTAAGACAGAAGCAATGTTTTCATCATTACGATATTCAGGTATTTCACGATGTGCTCGGCCCTGACACTTAAGTTTGTAACACGACTATTTACACAGAATTCATATTGAAGCTGGAGGGACCTTTGGAGACTGTCTGGCACAATCCCTTTCTTCAGGATGAGGAAACTGAACCCCTGTGGCTAGAGCACCAGACGGCCCAGCTGGCTGTGGCGGAGAATCTGAGATATGGGCAGGTCTACTGTCTCTCTGGCCTGTACAGACAAGTGTTTCCCAAATGTTAAGACATTTGAATACCATTATTCCATTATTTTTGCCATCTCCAAACATATTTTACTATATGTTCTTTAAATCAACTAATTTTCTTACCCAAATTTACTTTATAAGAAAACAATCGATTTGAAAGAGTCAGTACAGACAACTGGGGTAGGCAGAAAACCAGCCTCCCAAACACGTCTGCTTTCTACTCCTCAGAACCTGTGAAGGTGTTCTTTACACGGCAAAACCGATTTTGTACATGTGATTAAGGTTAAGGATCTCAGATGGGGAAATTATCTTGGATTATCTGGGTGGGCCCAATGAATCACACAAGACATTAAAAGAAGGCTTTTCCAGACTTCAGTCAGAGGACATGTGACAACAGCAGCAGAGCCAAAGGAACTGGATGTCGCCAGCTTTGAGGCTGGGGGAAAGAGGTCTGTGAGTCAGGGACTGTGGGTGACCTCCGGGAGCCGGGAGAGATGAGGACATGAACGGATGCTCCCCAAGGGCCTTCAGAAAGGAATGCAGCCCTGCTGACACTGATGTTAGCCCACTGAGACCCGTATTAGACTGTAGGCTACAGAACTGAAAATGATACGTCGATGTTCTTTAAAGCCTCTAAATTTGTAGGTATTGGTTACGGTGATAATAGGAACCTAATACAACATATCATAAACAATAGCTACCATTAATTGAGCTACTGCTTACAAACAAATCTCAGCTGAAAGTCTTAACACTTTTGCTGAAAGCAAGATTAAACTTCCCTGCCCTTCATTTCACAACCAATAGTGAATTTGTAAAGTTGTGTTACAAATTCCAGAACAGCAAAGTACACAGCAGTAAGCAAAGACAAAAACAACTTCACCCCAGCCAGGCAGAGAGTCACCGAGTCCCTTCCTACCACTCCTCTTGTATCACTAATGACAACTGGTTGTGCTATTTGTTCAGTTGCTCCCAGTTCATGATGCAGACCTGTGTGATGTCCATTGTTATTTTCTATTATGTTTCACCATATTGCATTTTTCAAATGCCTGTTTAGACCTTCTAAAAATGATTTCATGACCAGCAGTCTGAAGGCCACTGCACTAAATCAAAGGGTTTTTTCATCTATTCCCCTGAGGATCATACAAAGCCACTGAGGAGGCTTTCCTAACTCCCCTCCTGGTGGCCAATACTGTCACCTGCCATTACTGATGAAAATGGGTCCTAAGCACCTGTTTTCTAAATACACAGCAAAGGAAATACACAGCAAAGAGCTCAATGAACTTAAGGGAAAGGGCAGTGGTGGGGAGCATTAAACAGTGACCTTCAACATTACAGGACAGAGGAAGCACAACTGTACTAACCTACTAACCTGCTTTTCTCTCCCAGTGTTAATCATGCTGGTCTCAGCTGGAGACAGGGGAGGGGAAGACTGAAAAAGAATGGGGGCAACTTTCCTCATTTCCCATGCTCTCCCTCTTCTTGTCATTTAAAGCATGTATTCCTTCTTTTTATTT